GAGGCTGTGCTCACAGCTGCCTAGAAGAAGCCAAATGGGGTGGTGGGGGGGTGAGGGGCTGGGGGTGGGAAGGGCTGTTGGTGGGGATTGGTCCTCTCTGGTGACTGTGGGTCCAGAGAGGGTCTGCCACTTGTCTGAGATCATGCAGAAATTTGGGGCAAGGCCAGGACTTTGACCTAGATGTGTCTTACTTCTTTAGCCATTCTGGGGAGGTCTGGCAGGGTGGGGGGCATGCAGGCTGGAGGAATGGCTGGGTCTCTGCTGCCTCCGGGCATTGGGGGAGGTGGGCCTTTCATCGAGGGGAAGGAGGGGCTCGAAGCTTGCAGCTAGGGTGGGAGGAGACCTGTCTTTGATTCTTTGGTGCTCATACTTTTTGGACCCCTGGGGAATGCCTGAGTCATCGCTGAGCCAGCAAACATATTTAGCTTCTTTCATTGTCCCTAATAAATCAATTTCTCCAGGTCTCTCACACCTGCCGCTCGACTCCTGGCTGCCCGCACCCCATCTCCTGCCTGCCGGCATCTGGGCCAGTGCTCCCACTCCCCAGGCACGGGGCAGACGCCCCCCCTTGCCTCCCGGAGATCCCTTGCTCTTTCCTCCTCCATCCCAGGGCATCCTGTGCCAAGCCTGTCTTCCCTTGTTCTGGGATGGCCTCTGTTCAGCAGCCACGTTCCTGGATCCCCAGTCAGAGCATCATGACAAGGGGCACTGTGGTCTCAGAGACCGGAGGGATTATTGTGCCTGCAGCTCAGCCCCTGCCAGGGCCCAGCCTCCCTCAAACTCTTGGCCTCCTGAGACTTGTGTTTGGGGCCGAAGGGAATCCCAGAAGTACCTGGCCTTGTCATGCTTCCTTGTCCTAGCTCCTCCTGTCCCCATTGGCTGGAAGAGCATCCACTTAGTTTATCTTTCACGGGCACCTCTTCCAAGAAGGCTTCCCAGATTTTCAACTCTCCTGACCCCACGACTCTTTCGTCCTCCTATGGCCCCAGCCTGTTCTGTACCATGAAAACATGTGCATGGTTTGCTTTGTAATGAGAATGATAGCACTTAACATAACTCTGAGTAGGTACCCAACACTGTTCTATTTTGAACATATTGAATTATTCCCATTTTATAGATGGGAAATCTGAAGCTCAGATCGCTTAGGAAACGTGCTTAAGACACAGGGTAGAGTTAAGCCTTGAACCCAGGCCCTGTGGGTGGCTCTCACTACTGCCCCCCTGTGGCTCTTCACAGTGAGTGGCTCTCGTGGCACCTTTTTATCCACTCCGCCACTCCTCCCTGCCCCCCACCCCGCCCCAATGCACCCTCCAAACAGTCTCAACTCACCCCAGGGCAGGGGCTGTGTTGGGCCCATGTCTGAGACCCCCTTGCACAGGGAAGTCCGCATTAAAGGTCGTGTCGTGGAAGTCACCTGGCTCAACCCTTCAAGGAGGAAGATCGCATCTAGAGGGGGTAGGCCGCTAGTGCAGGGTCCCAGGGCCAGAAAGTCAGAGAGCCAGGGTGTCTGGCTCCTGGGCCGAGCAGGGGGCCCTGTGCTTGGCAGGAGGGGAGAGCGCAGGCCCGTGCTCATCGGTGCCTGTGAAGGCTGCTTGAGCCTACAGATCAGCTGCTTCCCCTTCTGGGATGCCCAGGCCCAAGCTCTGCTCTGGGCAGCTTCCCCTCCCGCAAAGGGCAGCTCTCAGGCCTCCCGGCTGCCTACACGGTGGCAACTCTCATTCATGTGTGGTGGGAGCCCCCTGCTGCCCACAACGAGGAGTGGCGGGCTGGTGGGGAGGTGGGCAGAGGGCCGCCCTGGGGAGCGGCGAGGGGCCTGGGCCAGCAAGTCCGAGCCCACTGGTCCTTTCCGACTGTGATGTGGCCCTGGCTGTCCGCCTCTTTGGCCAATCCCCCCACCCGCAGCAGCACCAACTTTCTCCCAGTTCCCTGTGTCTCTACACACCTGCACCCGCTGAGGCTGAGGCCCAGAGCAAGAATTATTGAGCACTGAGTAGGGACAGGCTGGCCTGGGAGGAGTTCACAGTTGGTGTGTGTGTGCGTGTGTGTGTGTGTGTGTGTGTGTGTGTGTGTGTGTGTCGGGGGTGGGTGCAGCAGACACGAGGTAAGCTCACTGCAAGATCAGGTGTGTGTCTTTCCCCCGGCCTGGCTGCCAACAAACACTCATGCACAGCTCCTTTGAGAAGCCTCTCTGCCCGGCCCAGCCCTCCACTGGCCCCCGTGCCCCCAGGCCATAACAGCGCGGGTTGGTCTAGGCTGTCCCTGTCCCTTCGCACCTGTTTTCCCCAGCAGCCCCCAGCTCCCTTTGAGGGCCACGGCTTTATCTCCATCATCTTTGGATGCCTGGTTCCGTGCATGGAGCCTGGTACGCTGTAGGCGCTGGGGCCGGAGCAAAGAACGTATGGAGAGACTGATCGATCAGTTTGGCACCTTCAGTCCTCAAGGAGCAGCTCAATGGTGGAATCTCAGGCAGGGGCCCGGGGGAGGGTGTGGAGGCCACTTCATCGCCCTACATCCAGAGGGTGCTGCCTAGAACCCTGGAATTCAGGATTGCAGGATTGTAAACCCCATGTGGGCTTGTCCCCCCAGTGCCTGGACCACTGTAGCTACTTAAACATTGTGGAAAGTACCAATAAGTGAAGGTTACTGCATTCCAGCTTGGGAACCCTCCTCCCCCTCCCCAGTGACCGCTGGGGTCAGCCTGTACTTGCGTCCTTCCGGAGCCAGGCTGGACACCTGCCTTCCGAGGCAGCCGCTCACTCTCTCTTCGGCCAGCACTGCCTGTTGGGAAATTCTTTTGCCTTTCCCTGGCCTTGACAGGGCCACTTCTCCCCTGCCCCTGCTCTGAGGGGACCTCCATCATAAACCCAGCCTCCGGGGACATCCGCCTGGGTGGCAGCCATGTTGCCCTGAGGATGAGGGCCCAGGGCCCTCTGAAGGCCCACTCTTCTCTGTCTGGTCCTCCTGCCTTCAGCTGGGAAAGGAACGAGAGTGAAGGGCCTAAAGGGGGGGGGGGCGTCAAGGACAGCAGGTGTGGTCACAGAGAGGCCAGACCCCACTCCCGAGATGTAGCATGAGCTTTATTCTGTCTTCTGAGTGATTTCCAGGACAGCCACACATGCCTGCAAAACACTGCTTCCACCCTCTCAACGATGGGGGAGGAAGCTGAGGACCAGAGAGGGAAAGGGGGGCGGGGGGGCGAAGGCCATACAGCCAGCGTATGCCAGTTGCGGGAGAGGGCCTAGGAGCCCATGACCCTCAGCCCAGTGCTCCTTCCATGACTGCTGTCCCTTCAGGGGCCTAAGGAGGTGGCAGTGGTGGCATCCAGTTCCCAGGCTGACATGGGGTCTGTGGAAGTCCTCAGATGTCCGCCAAGGCCCCCTGCAGATGCCCATCCCAGACCCTCTTCAGTGCCGTGTCATTACCAGGCACTCACACACCTCTGGAGACGGGGATCCCACCCCTCACAAGACAGCTACTCTCTCCCTGACCCCATGAAAGGTGTGCGTGTGTCAGTGGGGTTGGAGGGGAGGAGAGACTGCCTCCCCTCCCCTGGGGAGCCCACCTCGCTCTGGCTCGCCCGCTCAGGCTGGTGGTGGGGCAGACGCAACTGCATCTCCTGTTTCCTGCCAGGGAACTGCCCTCCAGGCACTCCCCCAGGGCCCGTGAGAGGGGCTGAGAAGGGCTTCTGAGAAGGAGCCTGTTCAAGGAATCCTCCTCCAGGCTGGGGCCTCCCTGAAGGCAGAGCTGCTTGCGTGTGTGCTGGGAAGTCAGCTCAACCCTTGATGTGCTGCCGTGGGTCTCAGGATGCCCGGACCCTGCTGGGGCAGCCCCTCAGCACCACAGGACCCCTGGTCAGTGGTCAGCAGAGAGGCTAGGGCTGAGGCTCTGCCGCAAACTTCTATGTCCTTCAGTGGCATGGGCGCCGCCTCCAGGCCACCCTCCTGGTCACCACGGTTCCCAAAGCTCTCTCTCCTTGGCTTCGCAGCTGTGCCACCAGCCCTGCGTGCATACATCTGTCAGGGATGCTCTCTGCCATTTTCTTGAGGAGTGCCACCTGCCCCTCCTCCAAAACGGACATCCTTGCGATTGGAGCCCACTCTGCTCTTGGCTTCCCTGCAGCCTTCGGTCAGAACCCCAGCAGCTCAGGCATCAAGTGCAGACATCTCCAGCCAGAAGCTCCTTAGGTGGATCCAGTACAATCTTGTCCTTCTCCCGAAAGGAAGCGGTCCGTGAGGAGGGAGGTGGCAGTTGGGGCACCGCTGGGATCCGCGCTGGGGCTGTTGCCGTTGCCGGGGGTGAGGGGCACAGACACCAAAGGCACCAAGACATTTCTATCCAAACCCCACAGTTTTCCAAGAACCAGAGGAGTGTGACTTGGCAGAGGGCACACGGCGACTTGGAGACGGAGGGGGACGGAGTCTGCAGGCGCTGGGCTCCTGGTCCAGTGCTCCTGGCGTCTCCCGGCGGTCCCGTCTGTGGGTCCGAGCTGTGTGTGTGGGTCCCTCAGGAAGGGACGGCCAAGCCCCAGCCGAAGACAGGGGAGGAGCTGGCTGAGAACCCCCTGAGCAGAAGGAGGAGGCATTACCATGGCCAAGGGCGGGAAGCACTCAGGATCCCCACGCTCCTCCACCCTCGGGGGCCGACAGCATTTCAGAGTCCAGATGTTTCACCGAAGAGGAGACTGAGGCCCAAAGGGAGGACAGGGCGCTGGGTTCTGGGGCTGCTTTCCTCGCTCCTTGCTGCAGTGACGTGGGGCAGGGGGCGGGGGCCTTTCCTGGCAGTGGCTGGGTGCCGAGGGCCAGGGGACCTAAGTGCCACCTCTGAGCCCGTGAGGCTTCCCACCCACCCTCCTGAGCCCTGCCCCCCCCCACTCCTGGTAGCTCAAAGTCATGGGGGCGGGGGCAATGTCTATGGGCCAGAAAAGGGTGCCCTGGGGTGGGACGTAAGTCTCCAGGTACCTCAGGTCACGGGGTTCCCGTGACGCCCGGACCCCCCCGGCACCACCTCCCGGGAAGCTCAGTGCTTGTTGGCAATCTTCTTCTTCCGAGCAGAGACCAGGTCATAGAAGGGGACGCGGGTGATGCTGGCTCTGAAATGAGAGCAGGTGAAAAGATCGCAGGGCTGGGCTGGCTGCCAAGGGGCTCCCAGCTCCCAGGGTTTGTAGCAGGGGTGGGGGTCTCCCAGGGAGGGGACGGCCTGCCGGGTTGCAGGAGAAAGGCCAGATGGCCCCACCAAGGACCAGGTTATGGTGAGTCAGCCTTGCCCGGAGTCCCGCAGGCTGCGCGGGAGAGGGTGAGGCTGAGAGCGCACGGCCTTGGGAACTCTGCCCCCTCCCCCAGTTTTCCGGACCCCTCTTCAGACTCCCGGAAGGAGGTGGAAGGAGCCCAGATGGAGCCGGCAGGCCTGCTTGTCCCCCACTGGCTGTGTGCCGGGGCAGCTCCCTCCCCCCGGGGGGGGGGCGCTCGGGGCCTCATCTGTAAAATGGAGGTCAGAGTGGGTTTGGCCTGGCCACTTCACAGGACTGCTGCACCGCTTGAGGGGAAAGAACCCACAAATCCCTGGGACACAGCCCCTGGCCCGGCGACCACTCGGTGTCCTCCTCTGGCTGACAGGACCCACCATCACCCATATCTCCCCATTGGCTCTTGCCCCTCACCTGACTCCCTCCACTGCCCCTCCCGGCGCCTCAAAATCAGCCCCTACACCACGGCCTTCTTCACCTGGCCACACCCCTTCTCTGTTTACCAGTCTCCCCAGTGCCCCCAGGAGAAACCCCCCGCACTAGTTGCCATGGTGACTAAGGACTTGGTCTCCCACTGCCCGGTCCCTGCAGAGCCAGGCCCCCCCGCATTGCCCGGCACCAGGCCCCCCAGGACACCAGGCTGCTGTCCAGGGAGGCCCTGCACTGACCTGGCCTCTCGTCTTTGCCATTACTGGTCCTTCCCCCTAGAGAGCCCTTCCCTTCCTCTCTACCAGGTCTTTCCAGGGCCCCTTTGGATCCTGGTGCCAACGAGAGCGCCATTCAAGAGCACTGACCACGGGCCAGGCACCGGGCAGAGAGCATCTCGCAGGATCGTCCCACCAGCCCATGAAGTTGGGGCCTTGCTCCCATGTCCTGGGGCCTGGCTACAGAATCTGGGCGGCAAGGATTTGCATGCCAGAGACAGAAGGGAGAGTCCGGATTTAGCCCCTTTTGCGGACAAGGAGACAAGGCCCAGGGAAAAGCAGGGGCCTCCGGGAGGGACAGGAGGCCCAGCCGGCCCTTACCGGATGGCCTCAATCCATTGGTCGCGCTCGTCGGCGCTGGACGCAGAGATGCGATAAGACTCGTGCTTGCCCTCCACCACCTTGCCCTCACCGTCCGTCTTACATGCCTTGATCTTCTGGCCCCGGCAGCTGGGGTTGTACAGCTCCAGGCAGAACTGCGGGGAGGTGGCTGGGTGAGGGCTGGGCAGGGGTGGGAGGAGAGGGCAGCCGGGCCGGGCTTTCCTGGGCATTCAGAGAGGACTAGCCACTTGGGGCTGGGACCGACAGCAGGACACACCCCACCCCGGGCCCGCTTCCCGTGCGGGGCCAAGGGGAAGGAGCTGCTCCTCCTCACGTTGAGAACCTACTATGCGCAGGGCTCGACCTAAATCCACCGTTTCCCCTAAAACCCCCAGCTGACTGCCGGGGAAACTGAGGCTCAGAAAGGAGCAGAGACTTACTCAAGGTCATTGGCCAGTGTCAGAGGCAGGCTCTGAGAGACAATGAGACCATGCCCTTTTGATGCCATTGACCTGCCCCCAGGACCCACGGCCTCGGGAGGGAAACTGAGGCAAGGCTAAGCTCCACCGAGGGCCTCCTGGAGGGCCCAGGCCAGCCGCCCCCTCGCTGCCCTCTCCATTTCAGAAATGCCCCCAGCGGCTGGGGCTCTCAGGACCCCACTGCGCCACCTACTGGCTTCTTGGGGTCGTCCACCTTCTGCACGGAGAGGTTCTCCAGAGGTATGATTCCCCGTGGCTCCTTGTCCTGCAGGAGGGGCCGGGGAAGGCCAGGATCAGCAAATGCAGCCTTGACACCCAGGGCAGGGAGTGAACTTGTGGGGCTCCCCAAACCCATAGAGGAGTGCACTCATCTCCCCAGACTCTGTCCAGCCTTGGAGGGGGAGGGGAGCAGCGAACGGAGAGCCGGGGCAGGGAGTTAGGAGGCTGGACTGTAAGCTTGGCCCTGCCCCTCCCCCTCCTTGCCCCTCAGTTTCCGCCCCTGTGAAATGGGTGCGCAGGGGGGCTGAATGATCTCAAAGGGGCCCCAGGCTCTGTGAGTGGACTGATTAGCACTAGTCTGGGAGTGGGGAGAGGGGCAGGGGCAGGCTCAGGGGCCCCCTGCTCACAGTGGTGAATTCAAAGTAGTAGAGACAGTTGTCGGTCAGGATGAACCAGCGGCGTTTCCACGTCTTCACGCGGCCCCCTGCGAGAGGCCAATGGCGCAGTCAGCCGGACTTCCTCTCCCTGGGCCACTGACACTTCCTTCCGTGAGAGCGGGGCCTGGAGAGCTTTCCTCTGCCCCTTCCCCTCAAGCCTCCTAACCCCCAGCCCACCACACTTTCCCCCAGACCCATCACTTTGTCCCTCAAACACCCTAGTGGCACTCATCACCCCAGGCTACCCCTGGCCGCTTGAGCTGGCATTCGAGGCTCCTCCAAGATCAGGTCCCAGGACCAGCGGCCGCCCTTCCCCCTCAGTTCATCCCTTGGCCGGCTCGCTGCCTGGCACCGTGCTAAGTATTTCGTCTTTCGCTTGCCAGACAATGTTCTAGATGTTTTTAGAAAATATTTGCTTATTAATCCCTAGAACTGCCTATGAGGAGGGGACTGTTATTAACCCCATTTTACAGATGAAGAGACCAAGGCACAGGGAGGCGCAGTCGTCTGCTCAAGGTCCTGCAGCAGAGCTCAGATTCAAGCCTGGTGTCCTAGCTCCAGAGCCCAAGTGCTTGGCCATTTTGCCACACATTGAACCCTCCCAGTGCTCATGATCCCCATTCCACAGCCATGGAAACCGAGGCCGAGGAACCTGACCACTGGCACGTGCAGGGAGGAGCTGCGATCTGTGACTTAGAGTCTCCCTGGGGCTGGGAACTGTCCGTCGGGCAAGGAAGGAGTCGCCATGGTCTGCAGAAGGGCTGGCATCCGGGCATGGGGCCGTGGAGGGCTTGGGCGGGCATCCCCAGCCCAGGTCTCTGTTGCAACGCGAGGTGTCTGTCCTTACCTGTCTCCAAACGCCACCATCCCTTGCTGGGCTGCCTCCACTGGGGAGGCATCCAGGAGTGCTGGGCCCTACAGTTCCCCTGCCAGATTTGGCAGCCTGTCCCTGCTGCAATAGCCGTCACCCCAGCCCCAACCCGTGGCTCCTCTCTGCAGGCTGGAGGTCCTCCCAGCCCCCTTGTCATGCTGAAGGGAAGCTCCCCTGAGCCACATCCTGTCCCATTTCCTCCCCCATCCTTCAGGGACACCCAACCTTTTGCCCACCCACTTGTTGGCTGTGTGGCCTCAGACAGGTACCCTAACCTCTCTGGGCCAGGCTTCCTCAGAAGCCCTCAGGAAGAGAGAGAGGCCTGTAGTTGAAGGGTCTGTGGGCCTCTCATCTCCTCTTCCGGCTCGTCCTCCCCTCCCCCACTGTCCCCTTCCCACCCAGGACAGACAGATGGAGGGATGGGGCAGGCGGACGGACGGCTGGGCGGGGGGTGGGGTGCGGGGGTTTGGGGGGGTGGGGGGGAAGGGGGGCGGTGTTGCCTGACTCCACCCCTGAGGCTGCATGTCAACGTGTGCATGTGTGGTGTGTGCCTGCACGTGTCTGAGTGCATCTGCCACGTGCCCGAGTGTGCCTGAGTGTGCGTCTCACCCAGTTTGAGCAGCCAGCCCTCGCGGTCGGGGTTGAAGAAGGTATGAGTGAGGTCATTGCCGTCGTCCTCCGGGATGGAGAAAGGTTCGCTCTTGATACTGTCGAAGAGGTTCTGTCCCCAGAGAAGGGAGGGGAAGACCGGGCTGTGATGTCCATCCCAGTCCAGAGCCTGGACCCTGCTGGGTCCGTGTGGCCTGGAAATGCTCCCTGCTTCCCCCAGGCCGCTGGGGCCCCCAACCTCACCACATGCCAGGTCCCCCCGCTCTGTGGCCAGAGTAGTGCACGCACGCGGAGGCCACTCCTCAGAGAGACTGTGCCCAGCTGCCTCGCCCATGCCTGTCTGCTTGCTGGGCTGGGTCTCCCCCACTGGGTGGGGCGCTCCCCCAGGGCAGCCCTGGGTGTCACAACCCCCAGGACTCCCCCAGGGCCTGGCCTCAAACAGGCTGGCAACTCTTTACCAACCAGTTGGTTGACGGTGCCCCCCTTTCCTCTCCCCCACCCTGGCCCCCGTTGCTAGAATTCCAGCCCCCGTTGCTAGAATTCCAGAAGACCACTGGCTTTGGCGTCAGGCTATCTGGGTTAAAATCTCAGCTTAGTCACTCGATGGCTGGGTGACCATGGGCATGTTCCTCAACCTATTTGAGTTGCTGGTCCTCATCAGCAGAAATAGAGAGAAAGACGCTGACCCCTCAGAGTTCTGAGGTGGGGTGGGGGCGGTAAATGGACTACACAGGGGTCAGAGCCCCTCCCTGCCATACGTCTAGGGGAAGGTGAAGAGGAGGGAGCGAGGAGTACAGCTTCTGCCTTCACCCAGCCACCCAGCACCCCTCTTACAGGTCAGATGAGGGAGTCAGAGATCATCACCCCAGTGTCTGAGAGTGCTGCCGACAAGGACACTCAGCTGGGACCTGTACAGCCCCACACATGTTCGCCTGTGTGTGCACACACATAAACGCTCAGACATACTCACATACACACTGGGGTATAGCAGCCAGAGTCAGGGCCTCCTTAGGTAACATCCATGAGGGGAGGGGGGCCCCTCTTTTGCTTAGCTGCAGTAGCAGAGACTTCCAGGTATACCCTGGGTAGGGGGACACGGAGGAGTGACCAGGGAGTTGGGGATTGACTGCCTGTGTTGAGAGGCCCAGCCCAAGGACAGGCTCAACATGGGATGCTGAACTTGGCTCTCAAGGGCAGGGACCTGTTCCAGGTGGGCTGTGGTCGCAGGGGTGGGAGTTACCAGAAAGCAGATTTCAGTTTTCCATGCAGGACCTTCTAGCAGTTAGAGCTGCTAGCATATGGATGGAGCAACCTGGTATGATAATGAGATCCCCGTCACTGGAGGTATGCAAGCCAGGGCGGAGACCTCCCTGTGGGGGAGTTGTGGATGTCCACAGTGGATCATCCCGGTGTGTTTTGAACCCCCTGCCACAGGGCCCTGTGTTCTGTGATCAACCTGCCCATGTTTCCAAGTGTTTGGAAAAACATTCTCAACTGTTTCAGCTTATTAAAACCAGATCCAATGCTGGATCTCCATCTCGAAGATAATTAAGTCCCTTCCTTCTGTTGCCTTTGTGTATACTGCTGTTCCGATGGTTTCCTTGAGATTTGAAATGAAAATTTTCACAAGTACTGTTGGATTCCCCTAAGGTTTTAGAAATGGTGTTTGCTGGTTTTTAAAAGGTCTTTGCTGACCTGATAGCTCCGGGGCTCGGGCGGGGGGTTGGTTACAATCCCACCAGAAGCAGCTTTTCCTGGGCTTGATGGAGGTGGCTTCAGACGTACTCCAGAGTCCCCGGCTCAGCCTGGCTGTGCTGGGGTGGGTGTAGGGAGAAGCAGGGACCACAGGCCCTTTTTTGGAACCCCCGCACCCCTAGTGCAGCTGGGAAGCTCTGTTGCCCTTCCTGCCCAGGCCCAGCCCTGGGAATTCCCTGGTGGTGCTGGCTGATCGAACAAAGGCCAGTGGCAGAAAGGCCTTGTCAGCAAAGCTGTCAGCACAGACAAACGTTTGGGAGGCCCAGGACGCAAGCAGGGGGCCAGACAGGGGGGTCTCATCCTCCGCGGTACCCACAAGGGGTCTCCTGGCAGCTTCTGCGGGTGGCCTATCAGCTTGCACGTTCTGCCCCCCACAAAGGAAATGGCTCGGTTCATCTACCGTTCCTGCACCTTGTAAACACCAGCCCTCCCCCGTAAGTAAACACCCCTGCGCGGGGTGGGGGTGGGGGGCCTGGTGGCCACCAAACCTGGCTGGGTAGACGCCAGCTTCCAGCGGTTCTGCTGGTCTTGTCTCCGTCTCTCTCCACCCCCGGTTTTCCTCTGGGGGCTCCCCTACCCAGACACTCTCTGTCCAGGTTGCTGAGGGGGGTTCACACCCACCGCTCCCCTGCCCCAGGCTCCAGGAAGGAGCGAATGACTCCCATCTGGCCAATCAGAACATTTCCTCCTGCTGGCCATGGTGCCTGGTTCAGGGAGGACATGTGACCCAAGCCAGCCAATAAGCCTTAGTTCTGGGACTTTAGTTTTTAGCTGCTGAGAATGAACCCCAAAGCTGCCTGGGTGGTCTCTGCCACAGCTTGAAGAGAGCCTGTTTAGGAGGGAAGCCAACATGGAGGAAAAGGTTGCCGAGAGATGGAGAGACCAGATCAAGTCCTGACCTCACTGAGCACCTGGATCTAGCTGAGCCTGAAGCCGGAACATCTGAAGCCAAATCGATCCCTGATCTTTTCCATTACATGAGTTGAGATTCCTTTAGCCAGGAAGCAACCGGTAACTGGGAAACACAGCCAAGTCCTCCAACCCCAAATCCTGCCTTCCGCTCTCTGATGAAGGAAGGGCCCTGGAGTCAGACAGGCATGGGTTCGAATCTGATGTCCTCACAAACTATGAGACCCCTGGCCAGCTCCCGCTCTAGGAGGTCGGTTTCCTTTGCTGTGAACTAGGAAGGGTGCCCACTGCCTAAGGGTGTCAGGAGGAGTTAATGAGAACATAGAGTGCCCAGAACTGGGCCCGGTATGTGGTCAGTTCTGATGGAGATGTTTGGACAAAAACTCAGGAGGTTCAGGGCTGCCCACAGCAAAAGATGCCCTGCACTGGGAGACTGTTCCCCTGCCTGAGCCTCAGTTTCTCCACCTATAACACCAGAGGCTGGAGAGCCCTCCTTCTTGGCCTCTTTCCTTTTTCTGCTCTTCCACCTGAGCACCCTCTCTGGGCAGCTCTCTCAAGGTGAGTGGCCCTCTTCTTGGCATTCCTTGGGTGCCTGTCAAGCGCCAGGAGCTTGAAGTGCATTAACTCGGCTTCTCAGGAGAACCACCTGAGGGCGCCATCATCTGCCCACTTTGCGGGTGAAGAAACTGAGGCTCACACTCAAGGTCACATAACCATAAAGGGCAGAGCTGGGATTTGATCTCCTATCCTCTGAATCCACACCCTGTACCTTTGCCCTGAGTCTCTTAGGCATATCTGCCTTGTCCCTATCAGGACAGCCAGGGCAAGACGGGCTCAACCCGCCTGTCCCCTGCCTCCCATAGTGCACCTCTCTGAAGCCTTGCCCAGCTTAAAAGCATTATGTGTCCTCAGCAGGGCCCAAGCTCCAGTACCACGATGGGGAATCTTTCCACAAAGTGACAAACTTTGAATATCTGAAGGTGCTTAAAGGTGAGGTCTTGCTTTACATATAGGGAAGATGAGGCCCAGAGAGAAGGCAGGCAGATGCCCCCCAAACCACACAGCACCCAGGCTCCCCCCCAGACTTCTGCAATAAAAGCCTCCAACAGCAAGGACCAGGATTGTGTGGTTCTCTTTGCACCTTGGGAGGGGGATAATAAACCCTTCCGAGACCTCCCAGGCAGAGTGTGACCTTAATTGAGATACTAGACCCTAAAGCCCCAGGAGGAGAACGTTACAATCTCTACACAAATGTAGCGCATCGTTACTAACAAAAGGCTTGAACTGGGAAACATGCCCAAGGAGGGAGGTGTTCAAGAAGGCTCAGGGGGGAGGTTGGGGGGCTGAGGCAATAATGCTGGTGTGCCATTAACTCATTATCTGCCAGACCAGGTGTGCCCAGCCTCCTGTCACCGGCACCACAACAAGGGGACTTACCGATTCCCAAATGCATTTTAGATTTCGGGCATCTTGCTAAGTGCTGGGGTTTTAAAATTATTATTAGTTATTCTTCATAGTGACCTAAGCCACCATTTAGACCCTGTGCTCTGTACCTGGCAGGGGCTATGCCCTTTACGTTTTTACAAATTGCTACTCCCAGCAGCTCGGTGACGCAGGCATCATTATCCTGGTTGAGAGAATGGTGGCTTGGAGAGGGGGGTGAGTCATTCCCCAAGGTCACCGACAGGCAAACGGGGCAGATGGGGATTTGACTCGAGCTCTAACCAGCTCTCAAGGCCTCATTCTGTGCTGTGGTCCCCCCCCTCCCCTTACCCCCATGATAAACTTTCTCCTCTGGGGACCGAGGAGGGTGCTGAGCTAAGGGCGTGGCAGTTCTCAAACAGGGAGGGGCACCAGAGTCCTTCCAGACCCAGGCTTCCCCCCAGACCTGGCGGGGTGCTAAGCTGGGAGGGTGGGGTTCTCACCCTCTCCTCACCTCCTGCCAGCCTGTCACTGGGAGGCGACGGGAGCTTTATTGAGTTCTGGGGCATCTTTAGTCCTGGAAATGAACTGTCAATTCATTTTTGCTGCACCAGGTTCTGCAGCTCACTCCTGTGTTTACAAAACGGCTCCAGCTCCGCGTTGCCCATAGTTACCAGGCAAACCCCTGAGGCTGTCCTTCGAAGCCTCCTTCCCCACCTTGCCACCTGTCCCTATCCATACATACCCACACCCCCAGCCAGCCGCTGCGGACCCTTCTCCCTTTCCCAGCCAGGCGAGGCCTGGGTTCTGGCAGTTTCCCCTTTCTGGACTGTCTTTTCTCTGTTTCCCTCTGTGAAAACTCCCATTCAGTCTTCAAGGCCCGGTTCAAAGTCTTCTCCTCTCTGAAGTCTTCCAGGATGACCCCCTTCCTCTGCCCCCAGGAGAGCGACAGTCATGTCCTCTGTGTCTCTGTAGCTATGTTCCCGTAGTCAGTACAGCATGGGTCACATGGGGCTATAATTCACATAGGCATCATCTTCCCACCAGACCCTGAACTTGGCCTGGGTGGTTGATTCACCCCCGGGTGCCCCGTGCCGGGCACAGGGCCTGGTGCAGTGCGGCCGGAGTGGGGGCTGTTTGAGGAAGAGATGGGGAGGCCCGCGTTCTGCTCGGCTCGCAAGCTGCCTTGTGGAAGACCTCAGTTTCCCCCCCTCTGGAGGAGGGAAGGCTTTTAGCAGAGTCTGAGGATTTTCAGCCCTGACATGCAGAGACTCTAAGAATCTGGGATTCCAAGCAACACACCCGAGTTGTGTGAGGTGCCCTTTCTGGAAAGTGCGAATGATGGGTGCCCAGTGTCCCCCAAAGGATGAAGTCTGGGAGGACCTCCCGGGTGGTCTATAGAAGACACCCCCCTTAAGATGGGGGCCACTTGGGAGTGCCCATGTCAGGACCGACCTGTTTTGTGGTGGCCCAATTCAGGACAGTCACCAACCTGGGTGGTCCATCTCAGAGCGCCCTGTTGGAGTGGTCCATCTCAGAGGAGCCCCTCTTGGGCTGTCCACCTAACGACGGGCCCTGCCCGGATGCCTGGGGACCAGGAGGGTCGGGCCGCGTCCCCCTTACCCGCAGCTGCTCCTCAGGCAGGTCACCGCCGCCATTGATACCGCGGTTCATGGACACAAAGCGCTCGAAGGGCGGCCTGTCCCGGACATTGGGGTTGTGGAGGCTGGTGTTGAGCATGATGATGGAGAAGGACAGGACGTAGCAGGTGTCTGCGAGATGGGAAAGCAGTCACAGTCCTGGCCCTGGGCACTCTCTCCTCCTCTGCCCTGACCGCTTCGAGGGGCCAAGCATCCCCCGTCTCAACACCCCAAAGGTCCATGCTCTCCTAGCTTGGCGTTCGAGGCCCGGCCTCCTCCCCGCTCTTACAGGCCTCCCTGCTCCAAAGAAACTTCAGCTGCCGCGCTCCTGAGCCCCTCCCATGCCTGCCCACCCCTGCACTTTGGCTCCTGCTGGGCCCCCTGCCAGGCACGCCGTCCCCTTCCCTTTGCTACACCCATCTGAACCGTCCCCTTTCAGCTTGAGCTCAAGCCTCTCCCCGAGCTCTTCCAGCCTCCCTGCCCACTCTGTTCTCTGCCTCCTCAGAACTCGGAGAACACTTATTGTTGGCTATACTGTTCAAGGCTTAGTCACGTGCTGCTTGGCAATCTCGCCGGCATCGTGGGGCTCCTGGGGCCCAAGCTCCTGTTCCATTCTTCAGACTTTCATGGGCTTGGGGGCGAGGCCGGGCTGAGCATTTGGGAGGGAGGTCATTGCTCCTCTGGGGCATTTTTAGGCCCTGGGTCCAGAGCCAGAGAAGTCCAGCTGTGTCCCCAACTCCCTGGTGGACCTTGGGAATGTACCTGACCTCCTCGGCTTCTCCATCTGTGACATCAGGAGGTTTAACCTGAAGTATCTTCATGCTCTAGAACATCAATGATTCTACCCCTGAAAACAGTGGCACCCAACAGAACCACCTAATAGCTGTCCATCTGCATTACAACCCGGTGAGGCAAGTGCCCTTACTAACCCCATTGTACAGAGCAGGACACTGAGGCACAAGGAGGTTCAGTTACATGCCCAAGGTCACAAAATGACGCAGTTAGGCTGTGATTCAAATCTGGTGCTTTAAAATTCCGTCCTTTCTATAAGTATTTATTGTGTACCCATGACATGCTGTGGACTGGGGATTCATTGGTGAATAAATTTGATATAGTCCCTACCCCTGCGGGGTATTTAGACTGGTAGAGGTGACAGATGATAAAGAAACACACCCCCAATTTATAGGCAACTACAAGAGAGGGCAGATGCTCCATGGGACCTGACTATGGTCACACAGCCACGGACAAGCCACGGTGCTTCTCGGAGTCTGCGTTAGATGCAGAGAGGAGAACACTGCTGACATCAGAGCGGATGAAGGGATTACCTGACTTTGCACAGGTAGCGCTCAAGAAATGGGATTCGTTATTGTTGCTGTGGTAACTTCAGGTACAGAGAAGCCAGGACAAGCCTGCCGCGCTGACTTCTTGTCCACCCTGCTAGGGGCGGGGCGGTGTCTGCAGTACTGATCTTTGCTGGTATCTTTCTATACCCCTATGCCCCCGACCTCCTGCCCAGCATGTTTCCTGCTTCTGGCCTTTGCCCAGATGAAAACTCCTGTCCGAAAGGTCCTTTCTCCACCTTGACCTCCTGGAGAACTCCTATTCATCCTTTAAAGCCCCGTTCAGACCCCACTGCCTCTGGGAAGCCGTGCTGGATAGGCTGACTCTGCCATCGCTGTCCTCAGCCAGGGGGACTGTGCATTATTTCCTGCCTCCTCTCCCAAGGACCGGGCCCTGAGGCAGCCCTGCCTGACAAGCGCCCAGCAGAGGGACTGGCCCAGCGTTGGCACTCAGAGAAGTCTGGGCTCCCAGGGTCTGGGTGCTCGGGGGGGACCTGAGAGGGTGGGGCGGGCATGTGCCCGCAGTTCCGGAGGGGTCCCGCAGCCCCACGTCCCCTCCCACACACGCACCTGTGGACTGGAAGACGCCTGGATTGCAGAGGCAGTATCGGGTGGCAAACGTCTCCATCATCCGGTCGATCTTCTGGGCCTCGCCTGGCAGCCGGAAGCTCCACAGGAACTGTCTGGGGGCAGGAATGGGGCAGTGGGTGGGGATCCTGGTGGCATGGGGTGGGGGGACCCTGGATAAGCTGCTCTGCCTCTCTTAGCCTTAGTCTTTATCCTGTACATGGGAGTGTCTGGCCTGTCCTCCAGGTGCTCGGGGAGGTGGCTTTTCTTTCAAAGTGGAGTGTGTGCACCCCCCCTCCCCATCTGGGCCCAGAGCCCTTTGAGGTCCCCTCCACCTCAGCCCAGGGGGGGGGGCCTCTGTCTGCCCTGGGATCTGACTGGGGACCCCTGGGCAGGTGCCTTCCCCTGGCTGGGCTTCCTGTTCTGTGAACCTAAGCCCTTCCAGAGCTTCAAACTTAGTTCCCCAAGGGCAAGGGCTGTCTGTACTGCTCCTCTCACACCTCCTGCTGGCTTCACCCCGGCCTGGGTGCCGAGGGACTGCTCAGTAATGAGCAGAAGAAGGAAGGATTGAATATTGGAGACTCCTGACCACTTACCTCTCTCCCTTAAAGAGTGTGGGAATTGGCGGGAAGGCCACATTGCTTGGATGGTAGTGGCTTCTTCCTTCTCTGCCTTGCAAACTCCTAATCATCCTTCAAAGCCCAGATCAAATGCCCCCATTCGGGAGTGATTTTCCAGGCATTACTCACAGCAGCAAGACTTACTAAGCCAGTTCTAAGTACTTCCTGTTTAGTTGGTACAGCCCTATGAATTTGGTACTGTTATTATTATTAATTTCTTTATTTTTAAATATTTAATTACTTTATTTGAGAGAGAGCAAGAGATAGTGTGAGAGAGAGCATGAGCAGGAGGAGGCACAGAGGCAGGGGGAGAAGCAGACTCCCCGCTGAGCAGGTCGCTGGACATGGGTCCCGACTCCAGAACCCTGAGATCATGACGTGAGCCTAAGGCAGACCCTTAACTAACTGAGGCCCCCAGGTGCCCCTATTATTAATATTTTTTAAAGATTTATTTATTTATTTGACACAGGGAGCGAGTGGGGGGTGGGGCAGAGAGGGAAAGAACGTTAAGCAGACTTCCCGCTAAGCACAAACCTGACGTGGGGCTCCGTCCCAGGATCCTGAGATCATGCCCTGAACTGACACCAAGAGTTGGATGCCCAACCTCCTGTACCATCCAGGCACCCCTAATTGGTCCAATTATTATTCCCATTTTGCAGATGAAGAAACTGAGGCACAGAGACTTGCCCCAGGCATGAGTCGCAGAGCTGGGATATGAACCAGGCAGTCTGGCTCCAGAGTTTAATATGTAATAATAAAGCGAATACCTACTGCACTGTATTAATAAAATAAATAAAACACTAATCTCAAAAGTAGTGGGAATAGCAGAAGTAGTAGTAACAGTCGTCACGATAATTAAATACGGCTGTAATAATGTAAGACCACGAGGAGCAGTGGCTGCAGGAAAGTGATCAGAGGCATCAGAGACCAAGGGGTGATGCTGTGTTTGTGCCATGAGTGTGGCTCCTGATCCCCCCTCCCCGCCCCAGGCTGGGCCACCCCCGGGGGCCGGGCCGTGCTCTCCGGACCACTCACCTGAGGGCCTGCACGAGGTTGAGGTTGGCAAATTCGTGGCAGTCCACGAAGGCGTGGAGGACCTGCAGGTTGAAGGGATCCCTGGAGAGGGCAGGAAGGAGGGCACATGCACTTGGGAACTTGCTGGCACCCATCTTCTGGAGGGGGCTGAGGTGGGGGCGGGGAGGGGAGCCGCGTCCTCCTTCCGGACCCAGCCACCTTCTGGTCTGCTCACCTCTGTCTGAGCTCACGTCATCCCCCACACACCTCCACGGTGTGTTCACCCAGGAGGGGAGCCCTGGCTTTGGAGCAGCCTGCCCTGCATCAAGTCCTTCCTCTGTCACTTCCTGCCTGGATGACTCTACTCAAGCCGCTGGAACTCCCCAAGACCCCGTGTCCTCATCTGTAAAATGGAGAGAACCACGCCTACGCCTATTTCTTCCCACTTCCCAGCTCAAATCTGGAAGCACTGCCCTTTTCTGCCACCTGCATCCTCTGCTCTCTTAGGAGAAGGAATGTGTTCACCGGGGAGCCTGGGAGAAGAGTCGCTGGTCTAGCTCCCCTCTTGTCACTTACCGCCCACCTGGCACCCCCAACAGCCAGAGGGGTCCTTTCTCACCACTCCTCTGCCCAGAACCCTCCCATGTCACCTACTACTTCTTCCCTCCGTTGGTCTCTTCTAATCTCACCAGCCTGCTGTTCCTTGAGCATGCTTCTGCCCCAGGACCTTTGCATGTGCAGTTCCCTTTTTTGGAATGTTCTTCCCCCAGATGTCTTCACTGCTCACCCCCTTTAAGTGTCAAGCATCACTTCCTCCACGAGACCCTTCCTATCTATAATATTTAAAGTCACAGCCCTTGACCCGCGGTCCCTAGTGGTTCTCATTTCCCTTCCCTACTTTATTTGCATTCCAAAGAACTTGCAATTTTCTAACATATTTTACATATTTTGGGATCTGTCTTTTGCACTAGAATGTATCTCCCTGAGGGCAGGAGTTTTGTTTGTCTTGTTCACTAGGATAAATTCAGGGATTAGATACTGCCTGACACATGGTAGATACTAAAAAATATCTATTTGTTAAACAAATGAGTGAATGAAGGAAGGAAGGAAGCCAGGCTTTGGTTCAGAAGGTGGAGGGGAGTGATCAATTAGCCCTCTCAAGCCCAAGAGTTATGATTTCCCTAACATAATTCATTCCCTCATGTACCTGCACACATACACACACACACCTGTGCATACCTGCACACCCTCATTCCCTATCTCCCGAAGGCCACGCCCCACCTTACCTCTCCCCCAGGTAGGTGCCAATGGCCGTCTTGTTGAGGCCCTCCCCCTTGTACAGGAACTGGGCGATGTCCTGGACGTTGGGGTCCAGCAATTTGTGCTCAGTGAGATACTGGATGCCCTGGAGGGGGTACATAGAGCCCACGATCAGCCCTCACACAGCTGCTGGCCTGAGAGGAGGATGGGAGGGGGCCTCCACGGCCAGAGTGCGGGACAGGTGGTGGGGCACTGTGGCCTGGCATTCTGACATAGGCACAGACTGTTTTGGGAAGTTCTGTCCTCCTTAAGAGAAGCTGAATTTGTAAGGTGGTGAGTCCCCCATCACTGGAGGCATGCAAAGAGAGATAGCATTCCTGAAATGAACCAGGTTCACGCCATGATCTCCCCAGGTCCCCTTCAGTCTGAACTCTTGGATTATATGCTTCAATGATTCTATGAATTTATAACTTTAAGATTCAATGATTCAGACATTTCTTTTGTCCCCTTAAAACTCATATATTTAAAAATAGTGTTTCATTTTTTTTCTCACAAATAATCTATGTCCATTGTATAAAAATAAGAAAAAAACCAGCTAAATCCAAAGGAGAGGAAATGGCCGAATCCCACCACTCAGAGGGAGACAGTGTCCAATGTGGCGCCTTTCCTTCCCTTTCTACATGAAACTGCTTTTCTGATCTGACGATATCACACATACCTCTCGCCCCCCCACCAGCCCTGGCACTCAGAATCTGTCCAATTTTGGGAGTTTGAGGGGTCGGTCTCTGGTTTTCTGTGAGGGCTCCTTTGTGTCCCTGTTTGTCTTGAGGAAGAGGTTGCTGGAAGATGGGGGGCAGGTGGGGGGAGGCTCTCAGTGACAGGCAGAGGGTCCTGAGACCCCTCAGTGGCCCTTCTCCGGTGCTCTGGTGGGAGTATGAGTTAGTGTGCGTGTGTGTGTGCATGCGGTGTGTGTGTGTGTGTGTGTGTGTGTGTGTGTTCCGCGTGGATGGGGCCGGGGTACGATCCCCGTGGCTGCGGGAGGCGAACGGGTGTGTGACACTGTGATGGGGAAGAGGCAGCCTTCTCAGCCAGGGCAGTAAATTTCCAGGGACTCCTTGGCTGCCCTGACCCCACCTCCGTGTGTCAGCTTGTCGCTTCCTGCCGTCTTTGTTCAAGCAGGAAGGGAACCGGCTGCCACCTAGCTGGCTGAGAGGTGGGGCTGGGGTTGCTCCGAGGCAGGGGGAGAGGTGGGGGGGGGGTGTAGGGGGTGCGGGGGGAGGGGCAAGCCCTGGGTGCTCCGTGCCAGGGGCCCCAGACTGGCTCCCCCTGGCAGAGGCTGGAAGACACTTCTGGAGACTGAGCCCCAGGATCTAAGGGCCCCACTGTCCAAAGACCTACTCACAAAGGAGGAAGCAGAGGCTCAGCCAGCAGACTCCAAGTCCGTGAGCTTCACGCAATGTCCCCACATCCTCCTGGCTCCCACCTCATGCTATGCTATGGGGTGACAGAGCCCTTCAGCTCTGACGGGCTGTGGGACACTGGACAGGTACTGAGCTCTGCTGGGCCTCAGTTTCCTCATTTGTAAGGGGGGTAATTGTCAGTTGAGGGGAACAAGAGGCCATTGTGAAGGTGTCCAGCCTGTAGCTCCCCCAGCCCCAGGACCACTTGAGCCCCCCACAACTGCCTACCTTCATGGGGTCCATATTGAACTTCTTACGCCCGATGCATAGCTCCTTCTCCTTCTGTGCTAACCGGCTGTGGACACAAAGATGTCAGGCTGGACTGCCCTGGGACCCCAGGGCACCCTCTCCAAGCCCCAGGGATGCTTTGCTCAGCTAGAACCAATATTCCCCAAGAGCCTCCAAGTGGGGTCCTCACACCCTGCATCAGAATCACCTGGGAGAGCACGAGAAATGCAGGATTTGGGCCCCTCCCAGAGCTACTAAATCAGACTCTTCTGATGAGTCCGGTGCCAGCATTTTAACCAGCTCTGGAGCCATGGCCTTGGGAACCCAGAGTCGCTCCAGGGAGAGCATTTAGAGGGGCCTGTGCAGGATGACAGGGAGGCTGGGGGTGACGGCACAGACTCTGGAGCTGGACTCCTGGGGCAAATCCCACTCCACTGCTTTGTTGGCTGAGCCACATAAGGTGAATCACTTTATCTCTCTGGGACTCAGTTTGCTCCTCTGTAAAATGGGGATGACACCATCACCTGCCTCACAGCATTGTGGAGAGGTGAAAGCGTTCAAAATAGCTCGGTGGTAGGTGCTCTGTAAATGTGTGTTATTGTTGGAGCTGGGACAGGGCATCTGGAGACCCAGGGCAGCCACGTGTGTGCCCATGCTTGCCTGTGTGATTTGTGTGTGGGTCTAGAAAGGTGATCAGAGACCAAGGGGTGGCAGGGGCAGGGTGGTGATTTCCTGAGACACAGTTGTAGGAGTCAGTATCTGAGGCCTTAGGGGATTATGTAGGGACCAACATTCTCTCTCTCTCTCTCTCTCTCTTTTTTTTTGAGAGAGAGAACGAGAGAAAGCATGAGCAGTCGCGGGGGGGCAGGCAGAGGGAGAGGGAGAAGGAGACTCTCCACTGAGCTGGGACCCCAAACTGGGGCTCGATCCCTGGACCCTGGGATCATGACCTGAGCTGAAGGCAGACCTTAACTGACTGAGCCACCCAGGTGCTCCAGAACGAAGATTCTTATTCTCCACAAGTGGGGAAACTGAGGCCCAGGGAGGGGAGGGGACCAGCCCCAGGTCACAGAGCCAGTGGGGGTCTTCCCACAGGAGGGGCAGGTGGATGACACCCTATGGGTGCAGTGAGGTGGGCCCGCGTTGGCCTTGCCACGGCCCGGTTCTGGTCCCTGTGAGGCTCTTGGCTCCTGGTCCTCCTCCTTGGGGCTGAACTCCCCTTCTCCCGGCCCATCCCATGATGCTCGTGGCCAGCGACTGATCAGGGGCTGGGTCAGGGTGGGTTGGGAGAGACTTTGGGTGGAGGGGTTGAGGGTGGGGGTGTCTCTTAAAAGAGGGGGCCATTGGAAGTAAGGACCAGACCAGACCATGCAGTGGAGTCTAGGGTCCTGCCTGTTCCTATCTCACCCCCACTGCCGCCTCCTCCAGGCCGACCCGTGGTTTCACCAGGGCCCCAGACCCAGGCACGGCCCCTTGCTCCCTCATGCTCATTCCTGGGGTGTGACATCCTTGGGAAGCCACCGTGGCAGCTTCTCAGTGTCCCCTGGCCCAGCCCCTCACCTCTCCTCCGCGGTCTCGAAGCAGTCAATCTGGGCAAACACATCTGCGATCTCATCTTTCAGCTTCTGTGGGGTGGCAGGGGGCACGACAGGGTGGGAAAGTCAGGGACGGAGGCTGGGACGGAAAGAGATTCCCGAACGCCCTCCCCCACACCCACCTGCACCCGTGGGCATGACCTCTGACTCCACGGAGCTGCCACTGAGCGCCCCTACCCCTGACAGATCACTTTCCCAGATGTTTCTTATTCTCACAATCCAAAGCCAACCTATTGCCTGTTGATACCCAATTCCCCAAGGGCTCCTGTCTTGGGGGAGGCAGTCCCCAAGTCCCCACCCTTCCCCCCATTCTATTTCCAGCCTTCCTTCTCCCCTCTGTAGCGGTGGTGTGTCCTGCCTTTTAGACACTCCTCTCTGGCTTCCATCCCCCATCCAATGACTCTGCAACTCGTCCTTGACTCCGTGCCCACTATGGGCCAGGAGTTATGGGTACACCAGGGTACCAGAGAGTGCAGGCCCTCTTCTCAGGGACCTTGTAATCCCAACGGAATTTACAGAAGAGGATGCTGAGGTGCAGAGAGGTGACGTGATACGTCCGAGGTCTGATTCCAAGTCCGTGCTTTCCCCACTCCCCTCCAGCCTTTTCCATCTTGACCCTGCAGGTGGTGCCCAGGGAAAGAGGACCCCCTAATTATGCCAACCACAACCCCTGGGCAGATAGCAGAGTGGCGGCTTGTCCAGCACCCCTCTGGGGAGCAGCAACATGAGTCCCTGGCAAGAGTCCCTAGAACCCAGCCCAGCCCTTCCTCACCTTTCCCTGCAATCTGTGGCATGAGCGTGGTCCCCAGGCTTGTCCGAGAACCCAGGGGCAGCATGGGGGCCTGGAGACTAGACCTGAGCCCAGTCAGTGTCTGCCCATGTGATGATCTTGGCCAAGTCACTGAGAGACTTCCCCATGATTCACTTGCAAGTATTAATTGAGCACTTACTATGCTTTGACTATTCAGCTGGGGTATGATGGTGGGCGAGAGAAACCCAAACCTTTGTGGAGCTCCCAGTTGGGTGGGGTTGGGATCATGGGGTCATGGGCAAATGAAATGACAGTGCAGAAAATGATCTGAGTAGCTACACTGTGGTGAGCACGGCGTAAGGGATAGGCTTGTCCAATCACCATGTCATACACCCGAAACTAATGGAACAGTGTGTGTCAACTCTACTCAAATTAAAAAAAAGAAAATGATCTGAATCATGGTACAGGAGGAGCCTGGCACATGGTAGGTCTCGAGAAAATACTTGCTGAGTGAATGATTCTGTATCTTCAACTTTCTTAGGTAGATGCGTGTGGGGTGGAGGTGGGGTCCCAGCAACCCCAGCCGGGCGGTCTGGGTCAGGGCAGTCTCTAGGAGGCAGCATTCGAGCTGACAGTGAAGTCACGAGAATGAGGTGCCATGAGGAGAGCTTGGGAGAGTCCCAGGCTATGGGAACTGTGAGTGCAAAGGCCCAGGGGCAGGACGGAGCCTGGCACATTCCAGGAACAGAAACAGGGCCTGCCTCACAGGTGGCTAAAAATCAGATGAGTGAATGTTTGAGCAACTGGTGCATTGGCGAGTACCAGGCATATACTGGTGTTATCTTGACGAAATGGTTTAAGTTTTAGAGGGGCTGAAACTGAGGCCCAGCGTGGAGGTGAGGCCTGATGGGGGCCACACGGATGGGAGTAGAGCCTGCCGTGCTGTGAAGTGTAGAGAGCACCGGGTGGGGCTCTATACACAGTAGGTGCTTAGCCGATTGCCCCCCTTCCCTCCCCCACGCTCCTGGCTCTCTCTGGGTCCTGGCAGCTGGGCCTGGGAGTCCCCCTGGGATTCTGGTCTCCCCACTCCTGGGGGCCGGGGCCAAGGCCACGTGTGGGCTGGAGCCTGGCCCCGCTGTCCAACCAGCCTCGGTCAGGTGTGGGGAGGTGTGTAAGCATGTAGGAGTGTTTGCTTCTGGGTGGGTGTGCTTGGAAGGTGCGTTAGCATGAATGTGTGTGTAGACATGCGCACGCACGTTTGTGCACACACCTGGATGTCTTCCAGAAGCTGCTTCCGGTGCCACTTGATCCGCTGCAGCTCCTCTGTCTCCCCACTGCTCAGCTCCGCTGGGTCTGGAGAGAGAAGAACCAGTGGTCACTGGCCCATTCACCACCCTCCCCTCCATCACTCCCCTCCAGCCACACAGGCTAGGTCTTGCTTCCGCCAGGGCCCTCTTCCTTCCAGAAACCCATGGCTTGCTTGCCCTCATCACTCAGGCTTTGGTCCAGATGTCACCTCCTCCAGGAGGCCTTCCCTGACTACCCTCTCTAAAGCAGGCCCTTCCTCTACCTTCCCTTCCTACCCAGCTTTGTACCCTTTCGGTACAGACTCCTTGAAACCATTTTGTTTATTCGCATCTTTTCTGTTCTACTCATTATACTCCTAGCACCATGAGAGCAGACACATCAACAATTTTGCTCACTGCTGCATCCTCAGCCCCTAGAAAGAACCCGATGCATAGCAGGTACTCAGAATACTTGCTGGAGGCATTTGTCCTTCCTTGGAACTTTCATTTACTCTTTCTCTGGATCCCGTGTTTATCATTTATCCACTTACTTATTTGCACAACCAGGAAGTGGTGTATCATTTTGTCTCACATGCCATTGGCCAGAAGTAGTTACATGACCACACCTAGCTGCAAGGGAAGCTGGGAAATGAGTCTTTAGTATGGTGGTCCTGATACCCTTATTATGTAAGATGGGGAGACTGGGTTTTGGGGGACAATTCACAGTCCCTGCTCTAGACATTGAGGCTCAGAGAGATGAGGTGACCTGCTCAGGGTTGCACAGGGACAAGCCGCTGAGCCGGAGTGAGACTTGGATTGGGCTGGCTACAAAGCCTGGGTTCCTTCCTCATCACCTGGAAATGAATGAAGGGAGACATGTGTGTGCTGGTATTCTGTGCAAGGTGCCACACTGGGGTCAGCGACCCACCTCTAACCCATTGTGCATCCTGTTCCATCCACAATGCTCACCTGGTCAAAATCCCCATGGACTCCATATTACTTTTTTTTTTTAAAGATTTTATTTATTTATTTATTTGAGAGAGAGAGAATGAGAGACAGAGAGCACGAGAGGGAAGAGGGTCAGAGGGAGAAGCAGACTCCCTGCCGAGCAGGGAGCCCGACGCGGGACTCGATCCCGGGACTCCAGGATCATGACCTGAGCCGAAGGCAGTTGCCTAACCAACTGAGCCACCCAGGCACCCCTGGACTCCATATTACTTAAGAGAGAAAAGTTCTCATCCTGGTCCTGGCCTCCCCAGCCAGCCTTATTCCCCACTATTCTCATTAAGAGCCTGACAGTCCCCTTACCAGCTCCTTGCTGTCCCCAAACTGTCTCTGTCTTATTTCCCCACGTTTGCTCATGCAGATCCTCCACCCTGGCATGCTTGTCTGCCTGTCTATACACTCCCTGACTCTTTAAGTCTTAGCTTTAGGGAATACCTGGTCACATTTCTTTAAGGTTTTCTAAGGACAGACATTATCCCTCTCAAATGAAAGCAGAGAGAATATTTTTTAAGTTTTATTTAAATTCAATTAATTAACATACCGTGTATTATTAGTTTCAGAGGTGGAGTTCAGTGATTCATCAGTTGTATATAACACCCGGTGCTCATTACATCACATGCCCTCCTTAATGCCCATCACCCAGTTACCCCAACTCCCAACCCCCTCCCCTTCAGCAGTCCTCAATTTGTTTCCTATGGTTAAGAGTCTCTTATGGTTTGTCTCCCTCTCTGATTTCGTCTTGTTTTATTTTCCCCTCCCTTCCTCTATGTTCCTCTGTTTTGTTTCTTAAATTCCACATATGAGTGAAATCATATAATTGTCTTTCTCTGATTGAGTTATTTCACTTAGCATAATACCTTCTAGTTCTATCCACATCGTTGCAAATGGCAAGACTTCATTTTTTTGATGGCTGAGTAATATTCCATTGTATATATATCCCACATCTTTATCCATTTATCTGTCAATGGACATCTGGGCTCTTTCCATAGTTTGGCAAACAAAGAGAACTTTTTCTTTTAAAAGATTTTATTTATTTATTTGACAGAGAGAAACACAGCGAGAGAGGGAACACAAGCAGGGGGAGTGTAAGGGGGAGAAGCAGGCCTCCCGCAGAGCAGGGAGCCCGATGCAGGGCTCAATCCCAGGACCTTGGGATCATGACCTGAGTCGAAGGCAGACGCTTAACGACTGAGCCACCCAGGCGCCCCAAGCAGAGAGAATATTAAGGGCTCCCTTTCCCTACGTCTCCCTCCCATTGACTGTGCAGCCATCTTGGACTCTGAGACGGAACTGAGTATTGAGATGGGGAGGCACCAAGCAAGTACTCAATAAATGGTAGGTATCCAACAGATGTATAATAGGTGCTATGTTGTGCCATCAACTCTCCTCTTCAGGACCAAGGCCCCCATTCCCTCGGTGGCTGGGGGTGGGATTGGGGGGTAGCCTGCTGCTATCACAGCTGACTTCTTCCCTAGGAACCTAACTCGGCCAAATGGAGCTGCCTCACCCAAGGATATGCCCCTCCCAAAGGACAGCCCCTGCATAAAAAGCCACGACCTTTTGCCTACTTTCTGGACCTGAACCAGTATTGACATAGACTCTGCCAATTGAGAAGAAGCTAGGTCCCCAGAAGGAAGGGTCCTGCAATGCTGGGGCAACTGTATATGATAATGATATATTGATAATGACTGCCCTGCTCAAGCGGTCAGGATGGGTCTGTGTGACCCACAGAGTCATAAAGTCATCTGAGCACAAGAGCAATCCTTCATAGTGGCTCACTCAGGAACAGGTGTGAACAAAGGGTTCCAGTAAGCCCCATGGACAGGTCACCTAGGCCCCTGTGTCATCCACTGTGGTTGCATCAGGTCCCTCAGCTCACACTAGGTCTGCATGGGTAGGTCCCTTGTGATCTTTCTGGCAAAGGAGCAAAACACCTGAACTTGGTTCCAGAATGGGCGGCTTAGTGTTTGGGGACAAGTAAAAACTGGATAGCTATTGAACTACAGCCCTCCTCAAAGGTGTCCCGGAGAGACCGTGGTGAGAAATCCTCCCAGTGGGGAGAACTGGGCCAGAGCACCTGGCCATCCATTTCATGGGCAAAGAGCAGGGGCACGAAGTGAGAATACACATGCATATAGGGTGTGAAAATTAATAAAAGGAAATCTCTGTTAGAATGGAGTCAGAGGGCCCACAGGGGGAGCTCTTACACCCTCCTCAATTGCAGACCCGAGAGGAGGAGACACACCTTGCAAGAGGGAGGCTCTTCTCCTCCCTCAGCAACAGCCCAGCGGATGAGAAAGTCACAACTCAGCCAATGAAAGCCACTACACATCGAGCTCCCAGTTAACTCCAACTTTCCAACTCCCCTCTGCTCTAGGAAAGAGCCTCCTCTCCTGTGTTCTGTGGACTTGCCAAGGGTTTGGCCATAGCTTGCTTGTCCTGGATTGCACTTCTATACTATTCTGCAACAAACCCGTCTTTGCTGGTAAAATAACTGGGAGTTTTATTTTTTAAGGTTAACAATGACCAGGACAGCATGGCTTGACGTCCTGGTCTGAGGCTGGAAAGAAGGAAGATTGGAAGATTGGGAACAGAGAGGTCTAAGGAAGAGCAAGTGGATGGTCCCCTAGGAGTGGACATGGAGCGTGAAGATTTTTTTTTTAAGATTTCATTTATTGATTTGAGAAAGAGAGAGAGAGAGAAGGTGTGCAAGTGGTGGGGGGAAGGGCAGAGAGAGAGGGAGAGAGAATCTCAAGCAGACTCCCCACTGAGTATGGAGTATGGAACCTAATGCGGGGCTCAATCCCCCAACTCTGAGATCATGACCTGAGCGGAAATCCAGAGTCGGATGCTCACTGGACTGAGCCACCCAGGCACCCCGAGGGTGAAGATTTTTGTGAAGCACACTAATGTGCCCCAGCAACCATCCACCAGAGGAGAGGACCTGCACCACCAAGCAGACAGAATGACTGGCCAGTGACGTCATCCTGTTTCTGACCTGCCAGCCCAGTGCTGGTACAACTCTCCGAGGATGAAGCCGCCATGGGGTCTGGGCGGAGGCTGCGTGTGGAGCCACTCACCTAGGCTTCCCCAGCTCCTGCGACTGCTGAATGTCCCAACTGCCACAACAGAGACCCATTATTTCCCAGGAAGGCCACCAGCAACTTGGTGGCAAGTTGATTACATCAGATCCCTTCTACTCTTAAAGGCCAGCGATTTATCTTGACTGGAAGCCACACATGTTCTGGACACACAGTGGCCCTTCCTTCACACGGAGCCTCGGCCGGGGCCCCTGTCTTGAGGCTTTCAGAGTGCTTGATCGGCCCACTCACTATGAGTACCGCCCAACACCACACTGGACCAAGGGACTCTCTTTCTTCTTTTTGTTTTTTAAGATTTTATTTATTTGACAGAGAGAGAGAGAGCACAAGTAGGCAGAGCGGCAGGCAGAGGGAGAGGGAGAAGCGGGCTCTCTGCTGAGCAGGGAGCCCGACGCGGGACTCGATCCCAGGATCCTGGGATCATGATCTGAGCCGAAGGCAGACGCTTAATGACTGAGCCACCCAGGCGGCCCTCAAGGGACCCTATTTACAGTGAAGCCGGTGTGGGAGGAGAATATGGCCCTGGCCCTGCTGGTCCTCTCCGGCACTTCGCCACGAGAGGCTGCCAGCCCGATGGAGCAGAGGCAGAGCTTCCTGAAGGTGCAGCAGAGATACCAGCTTGGAGCCGACATCCTGCTTGGACCGGGCACCGTCTACCGGGATGCAGTATACACCCTAAACCAACGACAGTTAGTGGTGCTCTGTCCCCAACAGGTCACTGACACAGATCCAGGCACACGGAGGAGGAGTGACTCTGTGTACCCTCCTCCTGGTGACCCCCATTTGGGAGTTTTCCTTTCTGTCCCTGCCACTCAGAGCTCGGCAGGCCTAGAGAGTCTGGCTTCCAGAGAGAAGGGGGAGGTGGTCCTTATACCAGGGGACAAAGCAAGAGGCCCGCTAACTTTCAGCTCAAAAACCCCTACTTTATGCCAGTAGCTCTGTATAAATTGTGCCTTTTAATCCTTACAGCTCCTGGAAGTGGCCAGGACCCCAGGAGACACGTCGACACGCAGTGCTCTCTCCCTCTCTCTCTCCCTCAAGTCTCCCCACCCCCATGCCCTGTCCATCTCCTTTGTTCCCATGGCCCCACCCCACCCCCACGCAGACCACAGGTTCGGCCCTGGATGACTGCAGGGCATCCTTGTGTCTCCCTGCCTCCACGCGGCACCTCCAATCCAGTCTCCTACGGCGTCCCCGTGTCCTGGGGACAAGACCCCGAATCTGCCTGGGCCCACCAGTCCCACAGGCACAGCCCCATCCTCAGCTCACACTGCGCCATCCTTGCGCCGGCCCTCGGCCTCCTGGACGTCCTCCGCTTGCTCCCACGTGGGCCCTTCCCACGTCTGTAATGCCTTTCCTTCTCCCCTTGGCCTGGTAGCTCCCATTCATCTTCTCCCCTCTCAGGTGCCCTCTGGTGCAGTGTCTGGGTCTCTCCCTCACATCCTCCTGTCTCCGCAGCGGTTCCAGGATCTGCTCAATAAACAAGCTATCTGTTGGGGGCGGCACGCTGCTGGGGCCCCTACTATGTGCCAGGTCCTGTGGGCTCCAGGCTCTCGCCGTCTTCCATCCCATTGGATCCCGATGACAGCTCCAGAGGAAGGTCTGTCTGATCTCATTCTATACACGAGGCCCCCGGGGCTCAGAGAGGTCCAGTGACCTGCCTGAGGTGACACAGCTGGAGAGTGGTGACACCCAGGCCCAGCTAGGACTCTGAGGCCACCGCCCTGAGGGGGATCTTCTGATGCCAGATATTTTCATGCAAATCATCAAAGCCCCATCAGACACTAGCCCTGGTGGTCCTGACATGGAAATGCTGACCATGACAATGTGTTTGAGAATGAAGGCCAGATGAGGAATGATGCCCACAGTCGGTTCCTCTTTCCCTTTCTGGGGAGTGAGAGAGAAAACCAAGCCAACTTCCTCGAGCTGGGGAGACTGAGGCACAGGTGTGGGTGGAGAGTGTTCTCGGGACAGTGGGATGGTATGGGGGTGGGGAGGGGGGTGTTTTGCCTTCTTTCTTCACAGAGCTTCTTTTGGGGTTTGGCAGGTCTGCTCATGGATCCCACTGTCCCCTGTCCCCTTCTGGCAGGATTCTGACCCCCACAGGATTCTGACCCCTGTGCTGTCCCAAAGGTCATGGGAAGCACCCCACCTTCCACCCCTTCACCTCCGTGTTTCAAAGAGGGGACTTCTCCCCATTTCAGAGCTGAGGGCACAGATGTTTCGGGGAGGGTGACAAGGACACAGAGTGGAGCCTGGTGATGCTGGAGTTTCAAACACCAGAGCAGCTCATGGGAGGCGCATTTTGATAACAATAGACATAAAACTACAAACAAATAATAAAAGGAGAAGGACCAAAGCCACCACCATGAACTCTGTTGGCTCCTCCCTTGGCTCTGAGTTTCCCACCTCACAAGGGCTGCCCGTGGACGACGGGCCCCACCCACGCTGAAGGCTGAGGCTGCCCAGGCCAGCTGGGGGTGCCCTCGTGCCCACCCCGACCTGTTCTGCAGCTCCTCCCGACTTCCCCTTTGTCCTTCCTCTTTCCCATCGTATTTTTAGAAATTGTTCTGCTTGCAGCCCTGCTTCCAGAACAGCTGGCCTTGCTTCCCCTTTCCAGGGCAGGAGGAGGGCGTGATCCTGGGGCCCTGAGGGCAGAGGCACCTGAGAGTCTCAGCATGAGGGGCACTGGGGCAGAGGGGGTGTCTGGCAGAGCTGCTCCCCGGCCCAGCCCCCAAGGCTCTGTGGGTGTTGTGTGGCTTCCTCCCCGCCCCCAGAGCCAAGCTGTATCTATTTTTGACTGCACCCAGCCTCCCTGCACCAGCCCAAAGGTGTTGTCTTTGGTCACGTAGGGGCTTTGCTGCCTGGACCTCTAGCCTTCCCGGCAGGCCTTGGGGGAGGGGGCCTGATCTGCTTCTGGGCAGAACACACGGCAGGAGGGGAGGCTGTTCTGGGGGACCTTGGCCACCATCCTGTCTACGGTACAGATGGGGAGCCGGAGCCCACAGAAGGAAAAGGCCCATCACAGCCAAGGGCGGGTTGGTGCTGAGCTGGGACCTGAGCCAGGTGGGGCTGACTCCTAGTCCCTACTTACTCTCCCAGCTCGGGCCGGGAGGATGGTGCCCACTGACAGATGATGAATCTGAGCTCAGAGAGGGGAAGTCACCTGGCTGTGGAGGAGCTTTGATTAAGACCCACTCTGGGTAATGGAGGATGACCTTCCTTCTTTCCCTCTGACTCCTCCAGGAAGTCTTCCCGGCTCTCCCCCTCCCAGGTAGAAGGAGTCGCTTCCTCATCAGCTCTGGGTCATTGTGCTGCAGGATCTGTCTCTCCCTCCCCCACATCCTGGACCAGCAGCTCCCCCACGGCTGGGCCCACAGCCAGGTCACTGCTGTCCCCAACACTGCCCAGCACAGGACCTGCACACAGGAGGACGGTTGATAGCATGAATGAATGAATGAATGAATGGACCAATCCAGGGAGATGTCAGACCTCCCAACACACCACCTGCATTGACTTTACTCAGGCCACTTTTCCCCAGGGCCAGCCTAAAGCAGAGCAGCACCCCAGCTTCTGGCCTCCCGTCTCCCACAGCCCAGGCTAACCCTTGGCTCTCCTTGCAGGCTCTTGTCCCGGCTCTGGCCCCCTGACATCAAGCAAGTCAGCCCTCTCCTCTAGTTCACCTCTGGGAGCCTCCGTTTCCTCATTGTGGAGACAACCATCCTGTTCTGAAGGACTCAGTCTGTGAAGCCCCAAAAGAACAAAGTAAGAAGGGTGGGAAGCCAGGCAGTGTGTGCGGACATGGCCTCCCTCCCTCCTGTCGCCTCATATCTGCTGAGTGACCTTGAGCCTGGCGCTGCTCCTCGCTGGGTCCCCTCTTGTCTTCTAGGCACCACCTAAGACATACTCCTGGAGCCCGCCCAGTCTGTGAGCCACCTACCACCAAAAGCCCAAAGGCTGTTGAAAGGGATGGGTGGCTCTCTAACTGGGTTCCCCAGAGCCCGCAGGGCCCAGGAGCCCTGGGGGGCGGGGTCAGACCGCTCCGTGTTAGGTTTTGTTTGAAGAAAGGGTTCTATTGCTCACAGGGTGGATGTCATCTGAACCTGGGGACCTGGACAGCTCCTGGCTGTGCTCGGCTTCTGGACTTCCAGGCAATGCTGGGATGTTCTGAGCACAGGGCACAGAGGCTTTGTCCCACTTCTCCGTGCCTTGCAGAAATGCAGCACCATTCTGTTCTCTCCCCTCCCAACTGTGCAGACTGTGCCTCTCCTCTTTCCCCCCGGACATATGGTCCCGCTCAGCTCATCGGGGAGGGTCTCAGCCCTGGTTCTCTGCTGCTCCTCCCTGGCCCCCCTCCACCGGCACTCTAGGCGGTGGCCTCAGCCTCCCCAAAGGCAGTCCTCACCCGCCATCCCCAAAGGCCAAACGGGAGCTTCAGGGCCCTTGTGCCGCCCAGACAGCCATTGTCACCAACATCATCATCTTCAACTCGAGCAACCTTTCTTGCACTGACGGTTCCTTGTCCCGGGAATATTCCTTCCCCAGAAACCCATATGGATCACTCCCTCCCTCCTCCGGGCCTCTGCCCAAATGGTGTCTCCTCCTGAGGCCTTCTCGACCACCTTCTCCCATCATCCTTACCTACTTGGCTATTCTTCCTCCTGCTTGTCACCTCCTGACATATTACATTAATACCTTTACTGTCTGTCTCCCCCTCTAGAGCGTGAGCTCAGGCGGGCAGGAACAGGGCCTGCTTTGTTCACTGGACTCCCAGCTCCTGGAGCACAGCTTGGCACCCAGCCTGAGCTCATAAACATTTGTTGCTTCCTTCTGCATGTCCTACCTGTCTTAGATCTATTTATGTATCGATTCCTTCCAGGATCCTGCGAAAGCAGGCACTATTGTCCCCATCTTACAGAAAGGATACTGAGGCCCAGAGAGGTTGGCCCCAGGTGCTTACCTGGGTGGCACAGGTCCATTCTGAGGCCCTGGGGAAGGGTGGCCTGTACCGCCGTTGCCTGCTGACCCAGATGCTGCTGGAGCTGGCGGGGCAGAGCTGTGTCACCTCGGCTACAGCCGGCCGCTTCCGGGTGGCCCCGCCCAGCCCCGTGTGGGGAGGAAGTCAGTCTGTCTGCTGGGATCTGGTGTGGAGGCTCTCGACACAGCAGCACTTCCTAAAACCAGCAGTTTCGTGTGGCAGGGACTCTTTGCATTTTTGGGTGCGGGCAAGGGAGATTTAGAGACAACAGAGACAAAGGGAGGGGTTGGGAGATAAAAAGAGAAAGTGAGACACACCGGCGTGCGCGCGCGCGCATGCGCTCATGTGCACACAGTGAATGATGGTTGCTGGGGGCCAGTCTTCTCCAGGGGACAGTGGGCCATTTACTTAGCAACCTCCTCAGATATAAGCTGAAGTGTCACCTTTGGACAGCTGGGCCCCAGAGATTCTACCCTACAAGCTCTCTTTTGTCTACTCTCCCTTGGGAAAAGGAAAAGGGATTCAGTGCTATAAGAAAGGCTTTGCTTTCCCTCCATGACATATCTGGGTTTTTTCCTATCTAGTGACCAATTGGCAATCATATGTTTAGTTTCTCTTTTCCCTCAGGCTGCTAGGAAACTCAGAGTCAAATCTGAGGCTCCTTTACAGCTGCCCTACTGTAGCATATGGGCTTTGGGACCAGGCTCAGCTGTGTGACTCTCAGCTCTGCCACTTGGGACTGGTGAGAACTCAGGCAAGGCCACTTATCTGCAATGAGCCTCAGTTTACTTACCTATAAAAGGGGAATGATAATCCTTACCTCAGGGTTACAGAAAAGATGGTGGGAGAGAATGTGTGTAAGATGCTTGGGATAGTGGGTCCTCAATGAGCACTATCTCCTTTCCCTTTTGGTTTTGATTTTCTTTCTGGTTAAAATTCCCAATTTTATTGCTTGTGGCTTTTCGGCAGGCTGATCCAATTTCTTTGTGGAAAAAAGTGTTGTGTAAAGAAATATCTATAAAATAAATGCTCACTCGGTGTAACTTTTTGTGGCACCCATCGATTTCTTCATCTGTTTCCCTACCAGGCTAGAGGCCCCATGAGGACAAGGTCACCTCCGTGTCTCCATGTCTGGTAAGAGCAACGAAGGAAGGAAGGAAGGAAGGAAGGAAGGAAGGAAGGAAGGAAGGAAGGAAAGGAACATAGGGGAGATAGTGTGGTTGATGCCAAAGTTGGCTACATTTTCCACCCTTCCCTGTGTGCACCCCCCTTTGCAAGTCTACCCTGCTACTCCTCCCATCAAGAGGTGGGGTCTATTTCTCTGCCGCTTGAATCTGGGCTGGGCTGTGTCTCTCTCTGGCCACCTGCCTGCCCAGCTTCCATGGGAACTAGCCTGAGCTAGCCTGCTGGGGAATGGGAGGCCATGCGGAGAAAGGCCCAGCCATCCTGACTGCCACCTGGTTGCAGCCTCATGAGTGAAACTGGGCAACAATGGGAGAAGGACCATTAAGTGGAGTCCCACCCTCATGGCTGTCCCATAGCACTGTGAGAAATAACAAATGTTTGCTGTTTTGAGCTACCAAAGTTTGGGGTGGTTTGTTACGCAGCGAAAGCTCACCGATACAGGTGAAATCCAACGCCTTCATTTCATTGAAGTGGAAACCGAGGCTCATTTCTGGGACATGCTTGACCAAGTTGGAACTTGAGTTAGTGGCCAGCTCAGGGCCAGACCTGCCAGTCTTGTGCTCTCAGCACTCTTGGAACCAGCCCCCCTGTTGCTCGCGGGCCCGTGCCTAACTCAAGGTCACCCTCTAGGAAACTTTTTGAAACGGTCTCCATAGTAAACTAGATTTTTCTCTACACATCGGGGTCTGAGGCATGAAAACCCATTTCCTGGGTCACTTCAAAAACAGAAATGGGGAGGAAGGTGTCATTCCCCATGCAGAAAAGTTAACACATCAGGATTGGGACTGTGATCCTTTACAAGGCCTGCTTGCAGGTTTGGCTTTTGGCTGGTGTCTGGGAACTTGGGTTTCTGGAGGGTTCCTACTCTTCTCTGATGAGAGTGGCTCACTGAGCCTAAACTGTACAAATACCGTGGGTTATGCTGAACACCTACTTTTGTTTTGGGTGTCTGCAAGTTTGGTATATGCTGGGCAGAGGGTGCCTACCTGCCTGGCCCCCAATAAAAACTCTGGATGCCGAGTCTCTATTGAGCTTCCTGGGTTGACAGCACCTCACATGCGTTTGCACACTTTGCTACTGGAGGATTTAGCGCCTCCTGGGTGGCTCCGCTGGGAGAGGACTCTTGGGTACTCACACCTGGTTTCCTGTGGACCTCACCCCAGGCACTTTCTCTGGGTTTGCTTTGTACCACTTTGCTGTCATAGATCAGAGCTGTAGGTAAGACTACGTGCTAAGTTCTGTGAGTCCTCCAGGTGAATCACCAAACCTGAGGATGGTCTTGGGGACCCCTGAAACATGCCCTAATGCTGCAGCCAGGCCCAATGGATGGACCTTGCCTGGGGCCACAAGCTGGCATCTGGGGCTTCCCGTTCTGTCTGAAGGGCTGGTTAAATGGGTCAGTTATTATGACTAACTCATTCTTTAAGACTCAACTCAAATGCCACTTTCTCTGTGAAGCCTTCTGTGATTGCACCTCCTTTCCTTCTGCTCCTCCAGCCCTGAAGGGACCCTCTCATTGTGGGTGGCAGTGGGTTTGGTAGATTTAATTAGAGGGGAACCGTGGAGACCTGGATTCAAATCCCAAATCAGCACTGGCTAGTTGTGTAAATTTCTCTCATCTGAGCCTTTTTTTTTTTTTGTCATCTGCAAAATGGGGACAGATAAAATTAGGTTTCTTTATATGACACAGAAAACCCAAATAACAGTGGTTTAAAGAAATTAGAGGTATATTTATCTCTTATGAGAAAGAAGCCTGAGGTAGGTGATATAGGACTGTTCTCATAGAAGCCTGGGAATCAGGGATCCAGGCTCTCTCTAACTTTTTGCTTCTATCCTCAAGATCTCCTCATGGCCCAAAGTGGCTGCCTGATTTCCAGCCATTGTACCTGAATTTCGGGTAGGAAGAAAGATGAAGATGGGAAGGGCTTCCTCTAAAGGCCTCTTCCTGAGGCTCTTTCTGGCCTGAGGTCAGCCCTTTTCCCTGAAATGGGTGTCTGCTTCCTCCCTATGAACTGCATGGAGGTCCATAGTTGGCTGTGGAACAACACACAGCAGTCTGCAGGCATGGGGTCTGGGAGGTCTTTAGACAGCCTCCACCACCACCATTTATGGAGTGCTCACTACATGCCAGGCACTATGCTAAGTGCTTGCACATCTTTTCTTTTAATCTTTTCCACAACCCAACAAAGTGTATTACTATCCCTGCTTTATAGATGTGGAAACTGAGTTCAGAGAGGTTAAGTTACTTGCTCAAGGTCACACAGCCAGGAAGAGGCAAGCTCAGATTCAAGCTCTGCGCTGACTTCATTCCCACTCTGAACTTATGCAAGCATCACTTTCAAACATTTAGAAAGAAGTTTAATAGCTTGCCCACCCCTTGGGGGAGAGGTAGGAAAGGTCCGGCACTTGAATCCAACTGTAGTAAAACCATGTAGGTGATGCTTTCTGTTGCCCACAAGCTCAGAATTCCTCACCTTTTGGACATAGCTGACTTGAGGGCAAGAAAGCTGGTAAGAGCTTAGGGATGGTCTAATTCAATGACCTCATTTACATGTGTGATAACTGAGACCTGAAGAGAGGGTCTTAACAGAGTGAGTAAGGGGCAGGACCTGCCCTTGAGCCCATTTGGGCTGTATAGTCAGAGTAAACCTTCCATCCATCCATCCATCCATCCAGTAGATGTATGTACATTCACTATGTGCCATGTGCTGTTCTTGGCACTGGCACAAGACAGACAAAAATCTTGGCCCACGTGGGGTACATGGTTGAGTCATTTGGACTGGGTAGGACATGGCAGGTAGTGGGCAAGGTGTGTATCTGGGATGAATCATCTCTGAAGTCCCTCCCTTTCATAATTTTCTCTAATTTCTCATTTTTTTCTCGTGACTAGGTATTGGCCTGGCAGAAGAAGCACCCCTGAATCTTAGGACTGCTGAGGCTCTGGCCTATGATACTCCAGCTGCAAGTGGGGCTTCAGAGGGGGCTTTCCAAACGTGCCCGATATACCCCCGACCTGTCATTCCTTGTCCAGGTTTGGCCGCAAGACTTACTGGGAGCCTTTAGCACAGAGGGACAGGAGGAAGCTGGGCCTGGGAGACAGTCCATGGCTCAGTAAGTCAAAGGCAGGGATGGGGGGTCAAGGGCAGCAGAGAACACTTTGATGTCCAAGTTCATGTCAAGAAATTGCCCCTGAGGGCGCCTGGGTGGCTCAGTTGGTTGGGCGACTGCCTTCGGCTCAGGTCATGATCCTGGAGTCCCGGGATCGAGTCCCGCATTGGGCTCCCTGCTCGGCGGGGAGTCTGCCTCTCCCTCTGACCTCCTTCCCTCTCATGCTCTCTCTCTACCATTCTCTCTCTCTCAATAAATAAATAAAAATCTTAAAAAAAAAAAAAGAAATTGCCCCTGATTAGATAATTGCACACATGCGGAAAAGGATGAGCCCATGAAGATTCTTCCCAGCATCCCATTGGTAACAGGGGCATTTGGGAAGAGTCAAACGCTCATCAGGGACCGAATGGTTAATAAATTATGCTGAGTCCAGATGATGGGCCAGTGTGAGTCATTGAAGAGAATAATGAGGATGTAGAATTCAAGCATCTTTTGGTTTTCAGTAAATGTAAGTCAGTATAGCTTAAGCTGGAATTTACTGGCTCAGTTCCTGGAGAGTGGAGGATGTGGTTGACCTTGGGGATATGGAAATCAGAGACTTAAGATGTCTCTCTCTCTCTCTCTCATTCTCCTGCCCATTCTCTCAGCCTGTCTGAGCGGTTTCTTTCCTAGTTGGGTTTTCTCCATAGTGCAGCCAGTCCAGCCACAGACAGCACCAGGCTCACATCAGATCACCTTTGACTTTGGAAAGACGGCCTACCAAAAAAAAAAAAAAAAAAAAAAATCTTAGGGAAAGACTCTGATTGGCTAGGCTTGGGTCACATGCCTATCTCTGGACCAATCCCTGCAATATCATAGGAGGAACGCCATGATTGGTCAGGACTG